GGGAGGGGGAAGCTTACTAACTGGGAAGTCAGTAGTTTTGTTTTTCCTGTCCAAAGTTTGTGACACTTTGGACTTGCAACTCGTGAAATTCCTTTCAGTTAGGGACTCCTATCAATTATCAATTTTGAAAGCCTCCCGCTGACTTTAGGCATTCTGACACACTTACCAAGAGAATTCAGTTTCAAGTTTCTTTCACAGAAAGCCCAAGGTAACTTGGCAAATTATTTTGATTGTGAAACTGTTTACTAATGTTCAGCTGGGTGGAGAATGTGAGTCTTGAGGAAGTAACAACATCTGAAATATTAATCAAAAGTTAAACTGCCCACATCACACAGGTTGCCAAAATATGATAACAATGCATTTGCCAGAATGAGTGGAGCTATGGTTTTAAAAATGGAATCTTTGATAAACAACAATTTCCTAGCATTATGCAATCAGAAATGGAAATACTATTAGCTAGGTGCAAAGATCCTTAGAAATTATACTGCTAGACTGTGTCTTCTATAGCCCACAGAGACACGCATGCACACGCATGCACGGCAGTAAATATCTGCGCGTAACATCGAACATTTTCCAGCTATAGTTAACTGGGCGAAATCTTCCCTCAGCCAACAATCAGCATTAGGATCACCCATCAATCAGTCATACACCCATCATCAGTCAGAACTCCTAAGAGTTTTAAAGCAAACTCACAGTCAGCTGTAGAAAAGGGACTATGTCAAAGAATCAGTTATCATTTAGTTTGATCTACACTATACACTGAAAGCAGGCTACTGTGTGTTGCAATCCCAGGAAACCTACCTCAGGAATCAGGTTATTGTTTAACCTTGCTGCAAAAATATTACAACTTCAAGTTTATTTATGTATTCCTTAATGGCAGAGCCCTGAGAGTATGTTCTGCTTCACTTCCCAGGTGGGGCCAATGGAAAGAGCAACACTTCTGGAAAGCTACCGGCCACAAGTTCAGAAGCTAAGCAAGAACTTCCCTGCTCAAATTCTGCAGCTGGCAAACTGCTGTTCTCCCCCTATACACAGGGATGCCCACCCCTCTCCATGGTACTCCCTGTCAATTCTTTACTCAGCTGCAGCTGAGACATTTGAAACTCAATCCAGCAGATATCTAGCCATGCATCGGTCCCTCTGGGATATCTGGAATTAGCCCAAGACAATTAAAATGCAACCACTGTCAGACTTTCCAGTAATGTAGAGGTAAGGATGCATGAGAAAGTCCTATCATGCAAATACTTCTGCACAGAGGAGATTCCAGCAAACTTTTAGGAGTCCTAGCGATCATGATAATCTCCAGTACAACTTGATGCCTGAGAGCCTCACCTCTGTGCCTTCTCAGATATGAATTGTTTCGTGAAAGGCCATGCCACAGCTGCCCTGGTATGTCTATCCCAAACATAAGCCACAGAAAAAGCCAGCAGCTTGCATCACACAACAGTGTAAATATGCTGACTCTGGATTTACACTGGTAAAAATAAGGATCTGAATATATTCCTAGCGATGTTTTTTATCTTTTCCTGAAGCACCAACATTTTCTTGACCTAGAAAGTCTTTTTCTATGTTGTTTTTAAAATACTCTAGATTCTTGGAGGGTTGGATCATGTGTTTTCTGTGGTTTCAAAAAACTTTTTTTACTGTGATGTGCATGGAAGAGTGTGAAATTAAAGGCTTGAATTGCTTTAGGATGAACACACAACCTGCTTTTATATAACCTGTTCCTAAGAAGAAATAGTGAAATTATTATTAAGTCCGTGGCAAATCAGCTCCTGCAGAGATGAAAGCCTTCTCTGGTAAGAAAGTTATTTTACTGTATAGAACTTGGATATTGTGATGAAAACTGGTTTTGATTGTCTCTGATGGCACAAGATTGGATTCAAAGCTAGAATACATTCTTTTTGCTGTACCCTAGCACCCCATCCTCTTACTTTTGAATACTTCCCTTCAGCTTCCTGGTACACAAAGAAGTAACAAAGGCATGCAGAGCAGAAAAAACGGCTGTTTATATATTCCAGTTTAGGATCACAAAGCAGCTCTAGGAGCTACAGGCACCCTTTCTTCTAAGGCCAGAAACTTTTCAAGATAGGTACTATGTGTAGGAGATCAGTGTAAGAAAGTAAGCCTGGGACAGGGCACTGCTAACAATATTTTAAGAGTTTTTCTTAGTTCTTAAGCTTGAAAAGTAGCAGTCTCTTTGTTCATAACAGCTTCAATTACATTGTGATTAATTGAGAGAGCATTAGTGAAAATCCAGCACCATTTGCACATCTGCAACTTCCTCTAGCTTGGACAGGGTGTCTATGCACAAGTGCAGGTACAACGGGCTGAGCACAAGCACAGCCGTAAGCGAACCTAGAGAGAGTAAAACACGCTGTTCACTTTTTCCCGAGTGGATTCTGCTCATAACAGGCTTAACTACAACTCGAACGCATTACGGTGAAACTCAGCCTTGCCTTGTCTAGGATCAAGAACTGTAGGAAGTTGGGATGCTGGAATGGATGAGTCCTACAGAGGAGGAAGCCGAGGGACCTTACCGTGGTGCTACTGCTGTGCAAATCCCTTGCTGGGACGCAAGGGACTCTCGGAAGCCACCTTGTCTCTGGGAAAAAAAACAGATCCCAAACCTCAACAGGTCGCCCCATCAGCCCGGCAGGTTGTGCGCCTGAGTTTCGTCTGGGCAACAGGCTCCAGGTCTCTCCTAACAGGATGGAGCTTCCCCCCAGTGCTGCTCTCCAGCGCCTTCCAAGCCACCGGAGTCCCGCAGCATCCCAAGCACCCAGGGGTAGCTTCACAAAGGAAGGATTTCCAGCAGCCCTTTCCCGCCACGCCGGCAGCCCTTCCCCCGAGCCTCCCCTTCCCAAAAGCAGCAGGCAGCTCCTGCGCACCCCGTGTCCCGGGACTCACCGCCGAGAGCAGGCTCCCAGCGCAGCCAGAGGCACACGGCGGCCAGGAACGCCTTCCTCCACATCTCGCCTCCCGCCGCGGCACGCAACTTTCGGCGCGAAAAGAAAACAAATGTTTAAAAAAATTAAAAGTAAGTAAGTGCGCTTTTTGCTTTAAAAACTTATGGTAACTGAACAGAAGTGCGGCGCAGAAGCGCAGCGAACGACAGGGCAGCCCGGGGAGCGCCCAGCACTGCCAGCGCCGCGCCCGCCCGGCCTTATGTCCCGGGCAGTATGCAAATAGACAAATAAATATGCAAATACGTAAATATGTAAATATGCAAATATGCACGGGAACCCCCGCGCCCATTGGGCGAGCGCCGCGGGGCGGGGCGGGGTGGGGCGGGCTCGGGCTCGAGTTCGGGTTCGGGTTTGGGTTCGGGCTCGGCGCTCCCGCGGGACGCGGGATGGAGCGGAGCGGAACGGGGCGGAACGGCACGGCCCCGGCTCGGCAGGGCGTGCAGAGAGCCCTTGGCTCCGAGCCCTCCTTGCGCCTGGCCCGCACAGTCCTCCCACAGCCCAGTCCGCACAGCCAGATGCGGTCCCGGCGTTTCACCCCTGGGTCCTTCCTGCCCATGCCGACCTAGCTCTGCTATGCCTCTGGTGGGGTCTTCCTTCCCATTCCTCTTTTGCACAAGTAAATGCAGCCAACTGCATTTTCTGTGCTGTGCTTGCAAAGGGCCTTCTGCCCCTTCCTCGAAAAATATTTGCCGAGACCTTGTTTTGCCAGCACTCGAAGAGATACAAGTTTGGAGAAAAAATTAATTCACTGGAGATGGCATCTGTGCTCCTGAGAAATAAAAAATTGATTCCTTGAGCTTTTCAACTCTCTCTACCCTCCTCTCAGAAATGTGATTTGCACTGAGATTTGAGTTGGCAGCCACTGGGTGAAAGATCAGTTATGTAAGGACATTAATTTAATAACAATACCAGTTTTCATTTCATTGTGCAGTTTGTTGCCAAAGGCCCAGCTTCATAAAGAAGCTTATGACACAGGGAATGAAGACTCCCTGGGTTTTGCAAAGTGAAGCGAATGGGATTCACTTCAAGGGTAACAGATCTTTCTCATACCAGACACCCAAGGAGACAAAAACATATCTATATATTAATGTTTATATTGGTGACATTGTTCAATAAGAGATTGCTGAAGTGTAGCATTAGTACTAGATCACCTTTCCAGCTTTAGGTTCTGCTAAATGACCAGTAACATCTGTAAGTAAGAATACATTTTCCGCCAAGACACAACTAGTTTCCTCCATCAGCAATCCTATTTATATCCAGAAAGCATCAGAAGAATTTAGTGAGGGTACAAACTGTTCATGCTGAGACTTTTCCATTGAGACAACTGAGTGGCAGGAAGAGGAGGGGGCTAACACTGTGGGTGAGGTAGGGAGAGAGACTGGGAGTCCGAGCAGGGGATTGGAGGTGAAGAGGCAGGAGAGACCAACTTCCTCCCCAGAGGATGGTGGTGATGTGAGCAGGGAATAATATGGTTTGTGCTGCAGCTTGCTAAGTATTGAGCATATCCTCTAACACAAAGTGTTTGAGAGCCTCTTGTCAAAACAATAGCAAAAATTTTTTCATGTCTTTCTTTTCCCCAAGTGTGGACTAAACAATACATTTCTCTTGATCTAATTTGGTTTAATATTACAGTGTAATTTCCGCCTTAGAAATCAGCCTGACTCTATCTAGGGTCAGACATCCTTCCTAGAAAATTTCATTCCCTGATGGGAGCATACGGCAAACTTAAAGAACAAACACTTTAAGGCCGACTGCTGTTAGGGAGACTGTCAGGTAACCCTAATCACAGGTGATGCTACATACCCATCAGAGCAAAACAGAAGATGAATCTCCTGATTTGCACAACTACATTGATGGTTACTTCAGGACAGAAGAAAATAAAATTTAAAAAGCTTACAGTATTACATATTATATTAATTCTGTGGGGAAAAAAGTAGTGTACTTTTAAATGCTTATAGAATCAGGTAGAAAGGAGCAGTGTCAACGCCTGGCACATCAGCCCTGGATAGATTGCTGGCCCTGCCTGTAAATCCATGGGCTGTAATCAGACTTACAGTTAACTCCCAGTATAGCTTCTGAAACCCACCAATAGAAATGGCAGGCAGAAGATTTTCATTCACAGAATGAAATCTAATTTGTTACACTGAAAAGGCTGGTTTGCACAAGTTTTTCTTCATGCCCATGCCTCACTTTAAGACATAGTTATGTATCTAAGAAAGAGTTAAGCAAAACGTGGACAAATTGAAAAAAAAAAAAAAAGAAGAAGATAGGAAGGAAGATTAAAAGCAAAACACTAAAAAAACCTTTCAAGTGATGAAAAACAGGGGGAAGGGGTAATTCCAGCTTCTTGGATCTTGAACAGAGTGCCTAAATCTGTTGTAAACTCAGATGTGAAATAATCTGAAATTGATTTGACACAGCACATTTTCCAACATTTAAAAATCTTTTTTCCCTTGCAGATAATCATGATTGGATGGAAAAGAAGCTTCATGGCATCAACTCAAGGTGCTTCAGTGCAATCATTAACTGGACTTGAGTTCTTCTTCCTCTGTGAAATACATAATCCTAGAGGGGAAAGCAAAGCTCCATCTGTAAAACAGAGCCTGACTGATAGTACTCATGGACTCTGAAGTGGGTAGAAGGTACTATAGTGAGAGCTAAAATACATTGCTTCTAATAAGGACTAGGGAAAGCCTGGGCAATGGAGAGAGAAGTTGCATAACTAGACTGGTACTTGCACCCACAGACCATATAGAAGGTTAAAGTGAAAACAAGCCCAGAAATGCCTCCAACACAGCACGGGCAGCATTGTGGTGCAGCTATGCAAAACCCTGAGCAAATTCACTGGCCTCACACAAGGACAAGCAAGGGGAGAACCAACCAGAAAATTTCATTTCCACAACAATGCCCAAAGAGAGAAGGGAGGCGTCACATTATGACTCTTTGAATGTTTTTGTACTGCTTTAACACAAAAGATTTTATAACTGAGGGTGAGAAGTCTTCTTAGTATCTGCTTAGAAACACGCAGAAAACATTCTGATCTCCTTCTGAATAGGAAATACAAGTAAGAGGTCTTTTCTTTTTCTTTCTAAATATTTGAAATATTTGAATAAATATTTGAATTTTTTCTTTCCCCACCCAGAAGAAAAATAGTGAAAATAAAGGCAAAAAGTCAGTGTAAGCTTCCAGATGATCTCTGTACTAATAAGTTCAAAGAAACAAACAAAAAAGGATTCTTTTCTTCTACTTTTAGTTTGCTCAAAGATATCTGTGAAATGTTTTTTTAAATGCATTTTTCTGAAAATAAGCCATTTTAATGGAACTCCAGTTTGGGAATTAAAAAAATTACTCTTTCCTGCCTGTTTCAATAAGCACGAACTGGGCTACAACAATAATTTCACACGCAGGCGAAGTCCTCTTGTCCTGGGCTGAGCCTCTTTGCTTCAAGTAAGCAGCAACACAACGTCAAGACACTCAGGGGCTTGAGGGTGACTCTTGAGCTGTCCCACCTACACTCATCAACAGGCCCTTTTTGTGGCCCAGTATTTGCCTGCTTCCCCACACTGGCAGCGAGCGAGGACTGCAGGCACCTTTCAGCAAGGGCAGGGACAGCCCAGTGACAGGCAGGTGTGCAGGCAGGTGAGAGCTACAGCTACAGCTGCGCCAAAGCCTGTGTGTGGTGGTTATTCTGAATCTCCCTAAATGGGCTGCAGTGGGAAAGGTGGCAGCAGGATCCACCTGGGTGTCTGCTTTGGAACATAATATGTGCGCCTTCATTAGCACCTGTTAGTACCTGGAAGAGCCCAGCTGAAGACAGAAATATGGGGAGCTATGCAGCAGCTGCAGCTCTGACTGCAACAGGACACCTGTTCCTCCTGCTAACTTTTCTGCTTCACAGAGAGGTTCTTCCAGTGTTTGGTGTCACATAGGAAACAAGAGGAGGCTCGTGTAAAACAGCCTTTAGCTGTTATGTCTTAACATATTTGTCCTTTCTACTGCCGTGATATCACTTGCTGTTCTGTTCCCAGGTTGTCTTATCTCACAGACAAGGTCCTCTCACTGATTAGCACAAGGATTAATTCCTCTTCATCCCACTCTCTTATTTCCAGTGCACTATGTAAGCTACTAATTCCTATTTAAAAATAGAGATATGGAAGAAAGCAGGATGCCTTGCTCTGGTAGTGAGTGGTGGATCCAGTTGTGGAGTAACCTCACGCTGTGATTTCCTCAACTGCTCTTTAATTAATTATCACGCTAATGACAGTGCCTGCCAAAGTCAGCTAGCTGTCTTGCCAGACACATCTTTCAAAATGCAGTGCCAAGGGAGAGACATTCCAGCACCCTGTTTGGGGTGGCGTGTAGGGGAGTGTATTCCAAGTCCCCCATTCATTGGCCATAGGGCTGGTGTTCTGACCAGCTATGGTCCCCCCCTCATTGCTGCTCACGTGGCTCCCAAGTCCTGCCTGCAGTAGGTTAAAGATGACGTTGTCTGAAACTTTTGTGAGGTTACGAAAATGTGCAAGGGCATGGGGGAGAAGGAGAGGGAGAAGAGATTTTGCCTGACTAAAAGTGCTCAGTACTAGCAGTGCTTAGGTGCCTGTAAGGGCAGAAGCAAGCTCCTGCATTTTGCCAGCAGTGTGCTTAGTGAAGAGACTTCAGCATCTCCTGTTCTCTCATGTTCTTCTCCTGCAATTTGCTACACCTTTATCTCTAATCCTGGGGAGAGAGCCTTCTCACTCAGGTCCCAGCCTGGCAGTCTATGTTCCTGCTTGCCAAGGGGAGATCGAGTAGGATGAGAGAGTAATGCATAGCACATCGCCCTGGGAAAATGAATGTATCCTTTCTGTCGCAAGGAATGTATCAGGGAAGAGAATCCACTTTTCTGGCCTCTGGGCTATCCAGCGAGGGAGAGGATAATTGCAGGCTCTCTGCATTTTCTTTATTTCACTCTACAAGGTTGACAGATGGTGTGTGGTGCAGCCAAGGCTGGATTCCAACTTGTGTCTCCTTTAGTTGCTTGAAACTTACTGAGAACAGATTCATCCTTGGGCTGACATTTCCATCTCATCCCAAGGGGGATTTGTTTTAATTTTTATTTAAAGTTTCAGCTGACTTAGCATTGCTTCTCTGGAATTTTGCAACTGGTAAGTAAAACGCCCCCTTG